TGAAGGGATACACATTCTCATAAAAAACAACATCCCTGGAAATGAATGTACATTTGTCAGAAACATCATATAGAACATAGCCTTTTACATTAGCTGGGAATCCCAGAAATATACACTTCCTTGCCCTTGGCATCATCTTATGCATTCCTTGGGGAATGGTGCTACCAAAACACAAGCAGCCAAAGCTCCTTAAAAGATTGTAATCCACAGCTTTATTATATAGAAGTTCATAGGGAGTTTTCCCACCATTCTCTTGTGTGGGTAATCTGTTAATCAGGTAAGATGCATGGAGAACACAATGCCCCCAAAAACCCAAAGGAACACCTGACTGAAACTTGAGGGCTCTTGCAACATTCAAGATGTGTTGATGTTTTCTTTCTGCAGTGCCATTTTGCTGCGGTGTGTACACACATGATTTCTGGTGCACTATTCCTTTCTCACTAAAAAAAGAATCCATGGAAAATTCAGTCCCATTATCAGATCTTACTGTTTTGACCTTTGCTGAGAATTGAGTATCAACATAGGAGCAGAAATTCTGGAATAGGCCTTTGACCTCTGACTTATTTTTCATCAAATGTATCCAAGTGAATCTACTATGGTCATCAATAATGGTTAGGAAATAATGCTCTCTTTTGAAAGATGCAGCAGCAAAAGGGCCCCATACATCTAAATGAATCAGATCAAAGCATCTTTCAGCTCTTGTATTGCTAACAGGAAAAACTGATCTCTTTTGCTTGGCAAGATGACATATATCACAAACAAAATCAGTGTATTTATGAGATTGTACAAGTTTAACACCACTAAGGTTCTGAATCTTATTGATGGGGTAATGCCCCAATCTTTTATGCCACATTTGCAAGGTAAAACTATTACAGTGTTTTCCAGAGCTATCATGTTGTTTTATCTTGGCAGGAGGGTGTTCAAGCAAGTAAAGTCCTCCCCTGGTCCTAGCAAAACCATCCATTATTCCATGTATTCCCTGAATATCACAAGTGTTAGCATTCATGACAAGAGTGCATTCATTTTGTTTTGTCAACTTGGTGGCAGAGATTATGTTGAAAGTAAAAGAGGGAATGTAGAGGACATTTTTCAGCATCAAGTTAGGGAACAACTTGACTTCCCCCACATGTGAAACCTGTACATCTTCTCCATTTGGTAACTTGACAAATATGTCAAGAGTTTTATGGCAGTTCTCAAAGTATTCCAGAGAGCATGTGATGTGATCAGTTGCTCCTGAATCCAAGATCCACATATCTGAACAATTCAAAACAGCATTAATATGGGATTTAGAAATAAACCTGCCTTCCTCAGAATTATTAGGCATGGTGATGAAATCTGGCTTCATTCCAGCCTTGCTCACTGTGATAGCTGCACTGGTAGAGGCTGGATTGGCCTGAACCCTTGAGTTTGCCCTTGCAAAAGGGAGATCAACCTCTGAAACTGATCAGGTGTCATCCCAATATCACTGACTTGGTTGACAGAGAAGTTTTGATTGTTCTGGTTATCATGACTCTGTTTACCCCTTGATTTAAAGCCAGGTATCCATCCAGGTGGATATCCATGCTTTTTAAAGCATTTATCCATAGTGTGCCCATTCATTCCACAATATGTACACTTTGCCACACTTTTTCCTCCAATACCACTGAACTTCTTCTTGTTGTTTCCATTAACCATAGCCACAACATTTTGCTCATCTGCTGTCTGATTCTGAATAGCATTAGATTGGACAATCTCTGAAGTTTTATAGCTACTTGAACTGTTGATTTTCCTTTCTAATTTCAGAGCCATATTAAGGACCTTTTCCATACTTGGAAGAGGTTCCATCACCAGAACACCAGCTTTTATGGCTTCAAATTCATCACTTAAGCCTTCTAAGAATCTGATCACTTGATCATCTTCCCTGTCCTTCTTAATTTTGTTGATAATAGTACATTTGCATCTAGGTAAGCACTCACAGACAGGCAGAGGTCTCACAGCTTTCAGTTGTTCCCAAAGTGCATTACATTTTGTAAAGTACTCATTAACTGAAGAATTACCTTGCACATTCTTGTATATTTCATTCTGGATCTCAGCAATTTTCTGAGGATCTGCCTGGCTGTATCTCTTCTTCAAGGCGTTCCAGATTTCTTCTGCTATTTCGAAATACAACACGCTTTCAGCAATGGACGGATTGAGAGATCGAAGGATCCACGCACACACGATGTCATTGCATCTTTTCCGAGTGCTATACCTCGGATCCATGTGAGCTGGACAAATAATCGATCCATCTACAAAGCCAAACTTATTTTTCACGCTTAAAGCGATCTTCATAGATCTACTCCAAGTCGCATAGTTCTGTTCAGATAAGGGAGGGGAGACGAGAATCGTATTAGGACTCTCAGTCGCATGGAGGTACATCGGATCATCAAGCTCGTCTACTCTGTGCACCAGACTTTGGTTCACTGGAGCTTGATTGACCGGAGTTGAACTCCCTGCTGTGTTTCCGGCAGGGTTTGCTGCATTCGCATCTCGATCCATGATCACAGCGGCGGCGTAGCTATGAGGCCGCTCTGATACCATGTCGAAATCAAGAGATAGAATAGAGAAGCGTGTGATTAAGCATTGAGTTCATGGAAATAAGAAGGTGAGCTGTGAATGTATGTTCATGTTTCACCAGAAAGAAAGGAAGCAACACTCCTTTTATAAGAGAAGGAGGAGACAGTTATAACAGAATGAAAAGAAGCGAAAAGACAAAAAAGCCCTTGGCAGTTATTTCTGTTATTTCTTCCTCAGCTTAGCCTTGTTCCATCTTCGGCCTTAGCTAGTTTATTTGACATTCTCCATCAGTTAGTGAGGGATGTGTCTCTATTGGCAACCCAAACTACTGTGCGAATAGGTATTTGGTTGTACCATATGCCAACATAGATGTTCTGAGATGAATTGGTAGGGCTAAAAAAGCCCATCTCAAAGATTCCACCTGAAGAAACAATGGTGTCACCATATTTGAGAGATTGAGTGGAGCTAATGGTATCCCTTGCAAATGACATCTTCTCAACTGAAAATAAGAGCGCTACTAAAAGTAGAAGAGTTCCCATTGAGCAAAACTTCCCTAATTTTGATTTTCTTCTTCTTATGTTGGTTCAATGTGATGGAATTTATTTCATTGTATATTCATTTTATTGTATAATCAAAGAACCTCACAGAAATTAACGTATTCTAATAATGCTTTTTTATTCCGTATCTTTGTTTCAGTTTGATGCTTTTTTTTTTACTAAACATAATTTTTGCATCACATAATCTTATTAATTGGCGTGATCAATGCTTCATCTGATTGCCACTTAAGACAGAAATGAATTCTTGATTTAATAGTACCCTAGTATGCTTCGCTGCAATTTTAGTGCCTTGGTGCAATGCACCTTCGAAAACATAACCAAATTCTCCTTCCAATTTTCCAAAAAGACAATGATAATATGCATAGTTTCTCATCTGTGATGAATATATATTGTAAATAGGTGTGTACTTAATTTTGATTGGGATGAGACTCGAACCTAAGACCTTCCTTATGAAAATCAATGAGTAAGTTAAGAATAATAAATAGTTAACGAAATATTCTGTTACTAAAGTTGATACTGACGGAATGCATGGCTATTTAAGAAAAGTAAATGCTATAATGGGGATAAAGTAAAAAAAAAAAATACTAAAATCAAAATAATATGAATCATCCATTTCACTAAACAATTACACCGACATTTTTTGTTTTCGTTGAGGGCCTAACTTTATTGGGTGAATGGTAGATACCTATGTTATTTAGAGTTTAATCCATTACTAAATTCAATGCCTTGCCCAACCCAATGAAACATTTTATTTGGGTAATGACCTTCGATTTTTTTGTAACTGATGTAATGAATCGGAAAGTGAACTTTCATTTTTTGTCAATTATATCTATTATTTATACTATCTTTCAAATTTGAACAATTAAAATGTTACGTACCATAGTGTTGACGTTGGACCATTTCCTCGGAGGTAGAGAGAGGGGAAAGACTTATATGAGCTTATGTCAGCCAACTACGACACTCTAACCGCTTGCTGATATGTGTATTGGCCTTTGACTTTCTTTTGGCAGATGTTTATGTGGATGTTTCTTTTCTTTTTTTTTTAGGCAAAAAGATTAACTTTTATTGATGACGAATAGTTCGAGAAGAGGCAAAGCCATTAAGGTCATACAAAATAACCAATTTGGCCTTTAAAGGTACAGAGCTTAGAGAACAAAAAGCAGAAGGACCAGAGGACCCCTCCGCCGCTAAGATATCGGCTACCGGATTGGCTTCCCGGTAGACATGCGATAAAGTGGAACCCCAAGACGCGAGGCAAGAACGGATAAAAGAAATTGCTTCCTTGATTTTCCATGGAATCCGTGCTGTTGCAGATGATACAATATGGACCTAAGTTGAAAATCTGGAATCACCTAAGTTGGCAAATTTTGATGTGGACTATAAAAAATTACATTTTTAATATATTAAAAGTATATTGTTTGTGTACTAAATGTACATTATACAAAATAATGTATTTTCTGTACTCAAATAATGTACTTTTCCTGAATACAATGTACATTTTTAATATACTAAAAGTACATTGTTTGTGTACTAAATGTACATTATACAAAATAACATATATTGTCAAATGAACCTGAAGTGTAATTAAAAAATACTTTAGTATTACTATAATTAAATGTAGAAATGCATATTCTATATGTATGCTGGTGAAAGAAAGGTAAATCCATACACAAGGCTCTACATGTAGAAAGATTAAGCAATTCAAACAGCCATTTTCTCCATTGTTTATATCAAGACTTGAATAAGCCATACAAGAGCAATTTTTGAAGCAAACTTGTCTGCACTCTTGAAGGTTCATATACTAGAGAGCTTACTCTCCTTGAGTAATTGTGAATCAAGTGAGGTTGTGAGAAAACAATCAGGAAAATTTTATTAAGTAAGAATACAATTTTAAGAAAAGTTCAAATTTTAACGGGGCAATGAAATAGTGACTTCATTTATGGGACACGATATTTCTTTATTTGGAGATGAATTGGCTTTAATTTGTACCACGCTTTCTGTAAAAAACCCAGGCTCTTTAGCAATAGGCAACTCAACATTGTTTGCCAACATTTGTACTATGGAAGGCATGGTTGGCCTATCTTCCGGGCAATGTTGAACACATAACAGGCCAACATGGATTGATCTTTGAATTTGAGGAAAATCACATGGTTCATCCAGATGCTCATCTATAAGTTCAACCAATCTACTATCTCTATATAGCTTCCATGCCTGTAGTATAGATGAATTACTTGATCAAGACTTTAATCTAATCATTAATGAATAAACATTAAATATGCTTTAGAATGAGACATTGCATACATGGCCAAGAAGGTTCTCATAGTGATCTTGATGATGAGAAAATCCCCTATTTCTTTTCCCACCCACAATTTCCAGTACCAGGACACCAAAGCTAAACACATCTGATTTAATAGAAAAGATCCCGTGCCCGGCGTACTCTGGAGACATATAACCACTGGGCTTGAAAATTTAATTTGTTATGTTCAATGATCAAAAAGCAAACAAATGAATGCAAAATGAAATTGAAATCTTACATTGTACCAGCAACTCGATTTGTATTTGCTCCTGTCTCGTTAAATTCAATGCTTCTTGCCAAGCCAAAGTCTGATATTTTTGGGTCCATATTAATATCTAACAAAATGTTGCTTGCTTTGAGATCTCTATGAATAATTTTTAATCGAGAATCTTGGTGCAGATACAAAAGTTCTCTTGCAATGCCATTAATAATGTTGAAGCGTTTTGGCCAATCAAGTAATGCACTTCTTCTATTATCTGCCCAAGATATTAATACAGATTAGTTATGTATATTCTTCTATACAAAAAATAAATAAATAAACCAAGAAGGAAACTTTCAATTCCAAGCACACATTTTCTTGCTTAAAAGAATGCTATAAGGAAAACTTTAAAAATCATAATTGGCATTGATGAGGTGATCAAACATAATTATAGAGTTGCTCGCACGGGTTTAGCTTACTAGTCCAGTCAGTAGTATTTTGAGAAAGTTGATTAAAATTTAAATGGATAGTGATTGAATATCATACCAAATATATATGAGTCAAGACTTTTGTTCGGCATATATTCATAGATCAACATCTTTTCTTCTCCTTGAATGCACCATCCTAGAAGGTTCACAAGATTCCTATGTTGAAGTTTGGCAATAGAATTGACTTCATTTTTAAATTCTACAAGCCCTTGCTTAGATGTCTTTGAAAGTCGTTTCACAGCTATTTCCTTTCCATCATCTAGAACGCCCTATAAATTAAATGAAATTTATAGATGGTAGTAGAAAATAATGAATATAATTTTGTTTAATAAAATATTATTACCTTGTAAACAGGTCCATATCCTCCCTCTCCAATTTTGTTGTTGAGTGAAAAGTTATGAGTAACTCTTGTTATTGTAGATACTTCAAATAGTGTTTGCTCTTCTTCCCATTTTAACTTTAACTGAATCTCCTTCATTTTCCGTTTGTACAATATTATGACCAGAGTCAAGCTCAAGCTCAGCACCAGAATTCCACCCAATATTGATGAAGTCAATTTGATTAGTTTTGGTTTCTTGCCCTTTGAACTTGAAGGATAATCTATCCCCACCCAAGAATAAAAAAAGTGGATGCATTGTTGTATTATTAACATTATTGAAATTGTAGGTCAGGGCCGGTAAAGGGGCCATTTCTAGTACCCAGTGACTGAGAGATTGTTGTGCAGAGACCGGTTAAGCCCCTAAGGGCCAAGTCCAGCACCCAACTTGTTTTGAACAATGTGATGACGGTCTATATAAATAAGGAAATAAGTTGCGCCTTCGCTACTAGCAGCTATAGCTTTTGGCGTGAGTGATAAGCGCTTAATCCTAATTAACAGAAATTATGGTGACTTGGAATGAGTGGCATGCATACCTAAATCAGAGGAAGCCATCCTTATGTAAAGATCTTGCCCATCCACACGTAGAACTTTAATGTCAGCCAAATCTCCAAACCAAAGCAAGCACCCATTTTCTCCATTGCTTATATCAATACTTGAATAAGCCATACAAGAGCAATTCTTCAAACAAACTTGCCTGCATTCTTGAAGGTTCATACTAGTATTGAAGGTTGAAAACCTTGTATCTGGCAATTTAACACCAGAATATTTCAAGAATACATCTGAGGATCCATTTTGACAATTCTTCTTCAGAGGTGTCTTCCTAACACACCCTCCAGAAAAATCTACCCTTCCCCATGCTCCTGGATCTTTAGGCAAAAATTTATCCAAGCATCCACAAACAGGGCTTTTATTATAGTCACAACTCCCATATGCCCCACAGTGTTTATATTCGTCACAAACATCTATTGGTACACTATGGACATTGTTCCATTCCCCTCTTCCATATTCTAACCACACCTTGATTTCTAAATTCCCAGCATTTGACAGGACTGCCCTGATTATCGAGCTGTTATAAATCTGATAACTGTAGGAAACCTCACTCCTATTAAAGATTACCAACATTTCGCCAATCCCCTTTTTCATTCCAGGAAATCCACCCCATTCCAAACCATTCCATGGCCCTGATCGAAGCACTTCCTTTCTACCTTTTCTTAAGATGAGTTGTGGATTTCCTGCAGGATCAATGTAAAGCTTATATTCTCCCATCCCTGGATTGCTTTCTGACTTCCATGCCGATAGAGTTGTGTTAAGACCAGTAACGAAATTCGTCCCGAGTTTCATGCCTGGCAATAGAGTATCTGTAGGATGATCAAAACTTTGCCACAGGAGATTCTCTGGGCTATCATCATTTGCATCCATCACCACCAGATTCCCAGAATCCAATAACTTTGCAACCGGATTTGAGATTAGTCTGGAAGTGTTAGTTTGCCAGTAGATATTAGCATCGTTGTTGCCATCATCAACTAGAGCTAGCCGGCCTGGATTATTGACAATCTTCAAGACTACTGATGAGGTATTAGTGAGAGGAGTATCTCTGTTGGCAACCCAAACTACAGTGCGATTGGGTATTTGGTTGTACCATATACCAACATAGCGATTCTGTGAATCGGTTGGGCTAAAAAAACCCATCTTAAAGATACCACCAGAAGAAACAATGGTATCGCCATCTTTGAGGACTTGAGTGGAAGTGATTGTATCCCTTGCATAGGAAATATTATGCATGGAAAGTAAGAAGAGGGAGAACACAAAATGCAGGAGAAAAGCTCTCATCATCTTGAAACCCTGTTTTGTGAATAAATTTTTTGCTGTTTACAGATTTTCTTTTCTTCTTTTCTGGAACAAAATGTATTGCTTATAAGTCGAGAGGCTAATTTCTCAACCACAGACATAGACTATTCAAAGACAATGAAATTTAACATAAAATATCTGTGTTGCCTATTCTTTGATTTAAGGGATCTGGATGAAACATGTCTTGTGACCTTAACCGACAAAGGATTACAAAAAAATAAATTCATAGCCGTCTGGATCAAACCAAGACAACCAATAGACAATACAATTTCTTAGAAGTCGAACTTAGAACATTATGATTATTATGCCAAATGTCTGAAGCCCGGTCAACTTGATTTCACTATGATTTGTAGTCAACTCTAAGAGAAGAGGCAATTCCAAACGAGTATGTAGTCCAATTAATCAACATCTTCTCTTCTTCTTGAATGCAACATTCCAGAAGCTTCACAAAATTTATATGCTGATGTTTAGCAATAAAATTGACTCATTTTTAAACTCAACAACATGGGCGGCTTCACAATTATTTACTTACCATCATATGACCAAGGATAGTAGGATACCGCATAAATTAAATGGATTCTTGAGAATATTAGAAAGGAATGAAGATTCGTTGCAATTGTGATGAACCTAGGATTATTTATAAAATTCAACTAGTTTATTGGCCGAACATGATATTTTAAGAATTATTTAACTAAATATTATTTATTTATTAAATTCTCCACTTTGTCCCCTTTTATAAGAGATTGTAGACAACAAAAGTTTGAAAACGATAAATGGATCGATATGGATCAATTTAAATAATTGGCCGGGCTATGATAATAATTGAATTAATTTAATCCGTCCAAATAAATTTGATATTGGGTTATTGAATTAATTAATTAATTAATTAATCAAAGCAATTTAAGTTTGATTTAGTTTTCTTATATTTGAATTTAATAATTGTAATTAAATTTAAATATAGTTTTATTATATTTGAAATTAATACTTATAAATTCAAATGTAGTGATTGGATCTCATGATTATGACAAGATTAATTTTGTATAAACTCTTAGTATTTATTCTAAATAATTATTAATTTATTGCATAAATATTAAGTGAGTTTGTTATGGGGTGGAAGTTACATTTTCTCTCCTATAAATAGGACCCTCCTTTCATTCCTTGAAACACTTGAATATCTTGAAGACACTTGAGGAATTAAAGGCACTTGAAAACATTGAAGATATATACTTGAAGACATTGAAGACGATTTGAAGTTCTACAAAGTTCTCTCTTTTACACTACCTTGAAGTTGACATTTTTTGTTAAGGATAAAGCCGTTTGAGCTGCTTCGGTGAAGAACAAGTTCTTCCTCGAGAATCACGCTCTACTGAAGTGCCAATCACGCTACTTGAATTTCAAGGCACTTCAGTAGAACGTTAGTGAAGAATTAGGGGATTACATAGAGATCTTGTTGATAGCGGAGGGACTCTTGGTATTCTGCCAACCAGACATGAGTAAATGAATGAACAGGAAGGAAGAGCTCAACAGGCACTCATGCACCTTGAATACATTAATGGTTCTTTTTTGAAATCTGCTGTTATTTCATTTCCTATGTTCTGCTCATTAATTAATCTTCTATGTAATCTCTATTTAAAGTCTTTTGCTGGCCAAGTTAAAGGATCAACTTGTACCCAGAATTTTATTGCTTAATGCAAGTGCTCTTTTCTGTTAACATTTGGAGTCTCGTTTCCTCGTCCTGCATCAGTTGGTATTCAGAGCCAAGTTCCTAGGCGACAACCGAGATAGCGGCACGACCCTCTCCACTTGTCACGACCCAATATGGCACACGGCGGTATCAACAACGATGGAAACAATCCACCCACCGGCGGTGACCGTGGTGTAGACGCCCTTTGGGCAACGTTGCAAATGCAGACTGACAACCATAACAGGGATTTTCAAGAAATTCGAAACATCCTTGCCAACATTAGCCTTCGACTTGACGGACGCGGAGCACTTCCTGCCATCAACCATAGAAGACAACAACATGCTAGAATGATGCCGCAAGTCAATCCACCTCATGGGAATATGAGCAGTAGTGATTCTGAAGAAGAAGAAACACCCCTTGCTTATGGCCAACAACAGTATCGACCAAAAGTGGATTTACCCCGTTTCGATGGAAATCTTGATGTTGAAGCTTTCCTCGATTGGATTTATGAAGTTGAAAAATGTTTTGAGATGCTAGAAGTTCCTGAAGATCGTCAAGCTAAATATGTGGCTCATAAGTTGAAAGGTGGAGCTGCTGCTTGGTGGGAGATGACCCAAAATAACAGACGAAGGCAGGGTAAAATGGTTATCAGTTCCTGGAGAAAGATGAAGAAACTTATGATGGCAAGGTTCTTGCCCCCTGATTACCAGCAACAACTATTCCAAAAGTATCAAAGGTGTTCACAGGGCGCTCGTAGAGTGAATGAGTATACTGAGGAATTTTACAGATTGGGTGCTCGTTGTAATTTATCTGAAACTCCGGAACAGCAAACGGCACGTTATATTGAAGGGCTGAGATTTAACATTCGGGAAAGGATGGCGCTTTCACCTATTTGGTCAGTTGATGAGACGCGTACAACATGGCCATTAAAGCAGAAGCACTTCTCGCACAATCAAGCCAACGCAGACAATATACTCCAACTCTTCCTAAGACCACATCAACAATTCCACCCCAAAACTCCACTACCCACCAACCTATTACCCAACACACACAAACAAATGAGTCTGGCCATTCGAAAACACAACGTCAAAGGCAGGAAGGAAACTCCCAACCACAAAACACAACATCAAATCCATATGCTAAGCCCTTCGTTGGAAAGTGTTTTAAGTGTGGTGAAAATGGTCATCGATCAAATGAGTGTAGGGCTCGGAGGTCTGTTAACTTGATAGACGAAAATACAGGGGAGGAGAGTGAAGAATTCCATGAAGAAGATATTGAGGTAGCAGAAGAGGTTGGTGAGCATTTGAGTTTTGTAGTACAACGACTCCTATATACTGCAGAAGATAAGAACCATGTTCAGCGTAATCACATTTTTCGGGCTTACTGTAGCATACTTGGCAAGGTATGCAAGCTCATTATTGACAATGGTAGCTGTGACAATATTGTCTCTAAAGCTTTGGTGCAACACCTCAACATCCCCACCAAGCCACATCCGAAACCATATAAATTGGGTTGGATCAAAGATAGTCCTTCAGTAACAGTTTCAGAAGTTTGCCTTGTCCCAGTATCTATTGGTAAGAGTTATGAATACGTAGTAGCTTGCGAGGTGATTGAGATGGATGCATGTCACATCCTTCTTGGGAGACCTTGGCAATTTGATGTTGATGCTACCCATCATGGGAGGGATAATACTTACTCATTCGTTTGGAATAGTAAGAAAATTATTATACCTCTTACACCTTGGGCTGAACTGAAGAAACAACATACATGTGCCGTTACTATCAGTAATAGCTGGAAAGAGTTCATAATAGATTCTCAAGACTACAGAACCATATTCCTGCTTTTGACAAAGGAGGTAAGCTTAAATTCTGAACTTATACCGAAAGAGCTTCAGGTTTTGTTAGAAGAATTTTCAGATGTTGCTCTCGAAGACCTCCCTGATGGCTTACCACCTTTGCGAGACATTCAACACCAAATAGATCTAATCCCAGGAGCTAGCCTGCCGAACCTCCCACATTACCGAATGAACCCCACAGAAAATGAAGCATTGAATGAAATAGTTGCAGGGCTGTTAAAGAAAGGACTCATCCAGGAAAGTACAAGTCCATGTGCCGTGCCTGCATTGCTCACACCTAAGAAGGATGGTAGTTTGAGGATGTGTGTTGATAGTCGGGCTATCAATAAAATCACAGTGAGGTACAGATTTCCAATCCCACGACTTGAAGATATGTTAGACCAACTTCATGGTGCTACAGTGTTCTCAAAAATTGATTTAAGAAGCGGTTATCACCAAGTGCGCATCAAGCCTAGAGATGAGCGGAAAACGGCGTTCAAAACCCGTGATGGTCTTTACGAATGGCTAGTCATGCCGTTTGGATTGTCCAATGCACCAAGCACGTTCATGCGAGTTATGAATCAAGTCCTTAGACCTTTCATTGGAAAATTTGTCGTCGTTTATTTCGACGATATTTTAATCTATAGTCAAGGGCGTGAAGAACATGAAGACCACTTAAGGGCAGTTCTACTAACCTTGCGAGAACAAAAACTGTACATTAATATGAAGAAATGTTCTTTCATGAAGCCAAAATTGGTTTTCCTTGGGTTTGTGATTAGTGCCAAAGGAGTTCATGTGGATGACGAGAAAGTTCGAGCTATACGAGAATGGCCGAGCCCGCGAACAGTGGGAGAGGTCCGAAGCTTCCTTGGCCTAGCATCCTTTTATAGGCGATTCATAAGAAATTATAGCACTATTGCCGCTCTGCTCACCGATTGCCTAAGGAAAGGAGGATTTCATTGAGGAGAAGTGGCTGAGAAGAGTTTCAATGAACTCAAGGATAAGCTCACAACCGCACCAATTTTAGCCTTGCCAGATTTTTCAAAACTTTTTGAAGTAGAATGTGATGCCAGTGGGGCAGGCATTGGGGCTGTGTTGTCACAAGAACAAAGACCCATTGCATTTTTCAGTGAGCGATTGAGTGTAGCACGAGAAAAATGGTCTACATACGAGCAAGAGCTATACGCTGTAATTCGAGCTCTACAAACTTGGTCACACTATTTGATGGGTGGAGATTTTATTATTTATACCGATCATGAAGCTTTGAAATATTTTAGGAATCAAAAGCATTTGAATAAATTGCATGCTCGTTGGGCATCTTATCTGGAGCAATTTTCTTTCCTCCTGAAACACAAGTCAGGCTCCACTAATCGTGTAGCAGATGCCCTTAGTCAGAGGAGGAGTCTACTAATCACTATGCAAGGAGAGGTAATTGGATTCGAGGTGTTAAAAGAGCAATATGAAGATGACGAGGATTTCGGTCTTATTTGGAGG